TAGAGATTTCGAGATATAACTAACGGATGGTTATAATAACGTTTTACTTCGGATACACACGCGAGTTTTTCTTTATTTTTTCTCATTATATATGGTTTTAGAAACGCTGCAAGGCAGATTGGGAAACATGTAAGAACCGAGTAGTTTTCAAGACGCCATAAAAACGAGGTCAAGCTACTGCCTCATTTCGCGTTATACGCTTTTCTTTAAAGCAAACGTTTACGTTAACAATATGGCTTACGTGTGCAAACGAAAATACTGCGGGGATATAAAGAACCGGAAAAAGTACAAAGAGGAAAACGCTAGCGCCTAGATGGGGATGGTGAAACTCGCTGCTCTAATGGAGAGAGTGGGTCAGCTTCACTATGGCTCTTTATTATCCACACATTATTTTTACTTTTAAATAGGAATTCCCAACATCAGAATCACAGGAAAGCAGTTAGTTCTTAATCTACTCATCAAATTGTTGCACACAAATTTTATTTACCACTGAAGCAGTCTCGGAAACTTACACATTTGCTTTCGAACAATGAAGAATTTCGAAACTCTGAACTTCAAGAAACTTACTTGATGTCTTATACAACTTGTTAGAATTTTAAGTACCTATTACATTGTAGAAACATTTTAGGAAACAGTCTGTGAATCATTTTTGTTTTAACCAAGGTTTTGACGTATCTTAGTTACATAAAAACGTACATTTGGTTTCAAATATCTTAATTAGAACTGATGTTGAAAATATTGTTGTGTTTTACTATGTCATGCGGACGTGTCGGCACCTAAAATAATTATGAGTCACCCTGTACGGCGATTTTCGTTTAATTTTGGCGTTAAATGTGGTTATAATTTTAGATTGAACAAAATTTCGATCATGTTTTTCGAAATTGAGGTCAATGTGTTTTGTATTAGAATTTTTAATGTTTAATTTTGTTTAAATAATCGCATTTTTTTATTTTATTTTATTGTTCATTTAGACATTTGGAAAGAATGTTTTGATCAAGTCCCGCCATTTAAATGCAAAATAACGAACTGGAAACTCTGGGTCACTAACTTAATTAAATGCACAGCTATGACTAACCAACGAAACCATCCTGATTTTAGTGAACTAATGATAATGGTTGTATAAACCCACCATAAATCTAATCTCACTTACATACAGTAAGATCAATAAATTAACTAACTGAATTACCTCCTCGAGTTAACACAAAGGAAAAAGATAAATTAAAAGGCACTTTACAGTTTATTATAGTTGATGGCACAGTAGCAACTTCTCATATTTCACGCAATCAATTTCAGAGCAATTCGTCACGACCGACGGTAGCAAAAATGTACGGTAACGAAAAAGACACGACAAAAGCAATTACAGTTTATGATACTCCGATAGTTCACACATTGCATTGCAAAACGTCTGATATTAAATACTAAGTGTTGTCCAAGTGAGTTCTAGCTAAGCAGACTCGTTACACGCAAGATACATACAGAAAACTACAATACCAATATCAGACTAAAATCCAATTAATTCAAACGTATTAATAAATGGGTTTCGGATTGTAATATAGGTAAAAAAGATAGATAATTAAACTAAAACATATTGTATAACTTAAAAAGAAGCGTGTTAACCAAGTAAGGAACCCTATGAGAATAACTTTACTTCGAAAAGGTTTCAACAGGGCCCCATCACCTGTGTGTCCTATAGTAATCCTCAGTTAATCGCTAAAATCGCTTAACCATGAACTAACGTGACCACTTACGCAAGAACGTTAAGATGTCGGAATTTAAATCAATGAAAACCGAAACGATTAATTTTAGTTAACTTCTACCCCTAACTTGATTTAATCAAACTCATGCCAAACTTTAAATTACTTTTATTTAACGGAACGCATTCTATTAAGTAAAATCAAACAAAAATGTTAATAGCTTTTGATGTCAAATTGTGAAACGGGGGTTGCATTTTGTTCGCTTTTCCTTTTCTTTTGTTAAAAATTCATATGAAAATAATACAGCTTCCGGCTTTAGCCGCGGAAACAACAGTACTATTGTAATTTTTTTGTTACAATGCAAATTTTATTTAAAATGTGAGCATGTATTGCATACGGAATGAAGTTTTATTTCCTTCTACACACGCTTAAAAAGGCTTTGATTGTAAATGTTTGCAATATCCATTAAAATCGCCATCTATACGCAAATGTCTACCCGTTTGAGCACATATTTAAATAGTGATTGCGCTTTTTACCCGGAATGCCCTTTACGTTTCTTTGTTTTCAATCAAATTGCGCCCGATCTGAGGTGTCGTGTTTTCCAAGCGTAGCGAAAGCAAAACCGTATTTTAGAGAGAGTCCACTGGGTTACATAAATTGCCACTGAGCACGCTCTGGTTGGATAATTAGGGAATTTGTACCTACGTTTTATTTTTGTAGTCAAAATTACAACCCCTTTATCACGAGAGTGGCCACTTGATACTATCATAATTAATCTTATTAATGGAGCTGAGTATGATGCCAAAATGACACCTTTTTGATTCGTATACCACACAAAACTCAACAAAGGGTAAGTCGATAAAGAACAACGCGTTAATCTCAGAATTATTCCAGCGAACCTAAAACTAATTACATAATTGCAAGATCCCTAATACAAAACAGTATTTACACTACGCCTGATGGATCTTATCCAGACCACAACACTTAAATTGGGGAGATTTTCTTAAAGTATGCGACAATAATTCATACTTCAACAAATGTTAATGTGGACGTTGTTGTTTGGTCCAGACGCCTGAATTAAAATCGGGTCTTTAATTTTATTGTTAGTCAAATTTTTCTCTCAAATTATTAAATTAGTCTGGTTTGGAGTTTCACGTTCAAACACAAAATGATTATCGCGTTTCTAGTTGTATCCAAGTGGTTTGTTTTTTCTTGTAATAGATTAATTCCTATAATTGTTAAAGGTAGGGCAATTTATCGTTTATTTTGTTATCAATTTTGCTTTGTTAAATCATTTAAGTGACAGTTTTGTTTGAATTCACAGGGATTTTTATAACTTTTGTTAAAAGTTGTTGTAATTTATTAGTGATAAGAATGCGTTTTAATGGGCAAAAACTGCGTGTTTTTCGTAGAAAATTTTTATCTGAGACAAGAGCATTAAGTTTAAAAGTTTGGATGCTTAAGGAGGGACAGGAAACAGATGCTGGGTTGGCTGTTGTTTTGCTACGTCGAATTTTGGGAAGTATGAGAGGGACTTTAAATACTGAAGTCTGTTGTGAGAAATGGGCCTTTGGTAAATTTCGAGACCGGGGTGTTGTTCGTTGAAAGCTTAAAAGATGCGCGTCCTGGCACTGTAGCTTTTAGTTGGTTGACTATAAAATTGTGTCAATACTTTAATGCATTTTTCATTATGTTATTTCTTGTAAATCAATAATATTAATTTGTGGCTTCAATATTTGTTGTAAATGAGTCTTAAAGAATCTTTATTTTTGGATAAATGTGTTTACACCTATTTTTGAACTCTTCTTGCGCCTGCATTAGTAAATTTTTTATTCTTCCTTGTTGCCATTTGCAAGCACGCCCATGTTCCAGTTTTTTTTGGTCAATGTATTGTATTGAGAAAATTTATTTCATTAGTTAAAATTAGAAAAGCGTATATTTCCTTCCTTCGAAGAATCTCTAGAGCACGGTACCTCGACTTAACCAAATGACTTCAGAATAAAAAGGCCGTGACCATGGTGGGCTTCGTGTATTATTATTGGTCCATTTGCGGGCTGCATAAATGACGTTGGAGGGCCGCATGCTGCCGACCGCTGCTCTAGGGTTACGGATCGGGAGTTTTACTCACGGTGCGGTAACATAATACGAAAGTTCCTTATTCGTTCGCGATAACGGAGATGAAATTTCCTCGTGAGTTTAACGAATTTATTCATGCCCGAGCACCACTCGAGTTTTCTTTCCATAATAATTTCCTTTGTGGCGTAAAAAATTCACTTAATCCTTTTCTAAATACTTTTTGATACGATTGTCAAGTTTGCGTAACTGAATTCGATTTAACAATTCGCACTTGAATTCTTTAAGCGGAAGGCCTATTATTATGCCCGAAAATTTCGACCGTAATGAAATGGAACCTTCTACATTTCAGACATGAAATAATTCAAGTGTTTGAAAATCTTTTAATTTCACGAACTGATCTCGCTGCGTGTTCACTCCCAATTTTTTTTAAAGTATCAGTATCTATCTTTTTTGAATTTTTCTCTGAAATCAAGAAGCACACTTTTCTAGCGTGATCAGAACGGCAATTTTAATTAAAATTTCTTTTATGGACCCGCACTGGTCGCCTAGGTCGCTATAGCGCTAATGCCTTCAAAACATTTCCCGGATTAAAAATCCGATCACGGAAATGCCACTTAGCTTATAGGAAAAAGCACTGTTCTCCGATTGCAAAAAAAATGAGTGCACTTCCCAGATAGATCAAAACATCTTGTAATGGAAAGTCGATAGTTTCCGAACTTCAGAATCACTTGCTGAATAGTGCAATGTAACGTTAAACTATAACTGCATTAACACTGATAAGGGAGTTGCTTCTTTGCGGAGCTTCGCGTAAATTCTGCACCTTGTTCCAAACTTCAAATCAAAACAAAATCATGGCCAAAACGTAAAAAGGAGAAATATGTATTTTTATTAATTGATAGGGGTTGAACGTAAAACGTTTATATTGCTATGAAAAACATGATGGCTGCAAACTAGTAGCTACATATGTCGTACAAAATATCCGTTACAAGATGTATTTACCGGGACCTGTACCAGTAATTGATTGTCGACGGATATGTCGTCTTATTGAAAAGGTTAATGGAATGGAACTAAAGTGCACTATCGATCGAGTACCGTTCATGCACGTAAACGAAAACATCGCATGTTCCAACGGTAAACACGTAGAGAATAGGAGTTATAAAGCGATAAGGTAATAAAGTACGAGTGCATAATATGTATTTTACATATTAATAATGAAAAGTGAGTACTTACCTTATCTCTGATTTCTTGTCGCATTTTTTCCCTTTCCTCCTCCATCTTTCTGTGTTTTTCCTTTCTTCGCTCCTCAGCTTCGCGTATCGCCTCCAGCCGCTCTCTTTCGGCCTCCTCCTCTTTCTCCTTGTCATCGGAATCATCGTCACCTCCGACCGCGCCTAGAAATAAAAATCAAAATTAATTGCGATCTCAATTTTCCAATAACAAAACATTGATGTCGAGCCATAAACGGCCGGGGGAGAATGTCCGAACGGTTTCGGTTGGAATTTTTATTTCTGATTTATGGCGTAATGAAATGTGCCCGTTACATTTTTAAGGGGGCGGATTTTAAAATGGCCATTTCGATGTTTTATCGCGGTTTATTTGCTTTACATCGATCTAAATAAATTCAGATTTCCCTTCCAGTCATGAAATTTGTGGCTGTTTTCCCGGTACGAACCTATGACACATCTTTTCGTATTGATCTCTTCGTAAAAGGCACGAAGACATTATTGGGGACTGGTGGTTAGTTACGACCTAGACATTTGCATGCATAGCAATGAAAAACGAGTTCCTTGCGCTACGAATTTACGATTTTCCGATTACGTTGATCGCAACATTTGCAAATGTTGAACGCCATAACAAACGCTGCGCTGTAATTGATTTGGCCATTTTTTCCTGAATCCAAAAGGTCTAGGATGAAATGACAAAAAACTGCTCTGTCGTGGAAAAAATTAATGGCGAGCTTTATGATCTCCATTGGAAAAGAGTTTTTACAAGACCGGCACAAAGTTTCTTGTTCATTGTAAGACAATTCGAGCGTGGAATAAAAATTTCGAAGGTTGTAATTAGGATTTAACTAAAATCGATAATTAATTAAAATCCTTCGTTATTGCCGATTAATTTTGGATTAATTAACATTTAGGTTAACTATGTCAATAAAATAACGCCAAAAGATTATAAAAGATAATCCTGAATTAATTAAATTTGATGTTCAAAATACAGTTTCAAAACGGAAGAGGGTTTACTTTAATTATATGTCTAACGTAAAATCAAAACCGAATAAACCAAAATGAATTTGAACTTAGTCACACCACCAATTTTCGTTTAACCTCCAGAGCTATCTTTAATTGGTTTTGGTGGTAAGTATTGTACTAATTACATTGCAAACCTCGTTGCAAACTTTACGCAATGTCGCCCATTTACACAAAAGCTAATGATCGTAGGATTATTTTTTTTTTGGGTGGAATTTAAAGCGGCAACAATGGAGGAGAGACGCGTTAATTCTATTATTCTGAAAATGAGAACACGCGGGTCTTTTTCAGTGGCGCGAGAATGAACCTGAAAATGATTATACGGCGGGCATTTCCTGGTAAATTGTATGTAGGTGGCTGTTTATTTGTGTGATGCATTACGTGCGAAAAAACACAATTTTGAATCACGATAAAAAGTCGATTGTACAGTCACGTAATCTTTACAGCACACGTTATTAGCGTAATCAGGGGTGAATTGCATTAAATCGCGTAATTGACAAACAATTTGCGCCTACGTAAATGGCTGTTTCTTTAGCAGAGAAAAAACATTTAAAATAAATTTGCTTTGTAAAACTGTAATAATATTGATAAAATGTGTTTTTGCCGCTCCCTTACTAAGATAGGTAAATAAGCTATCCAAACACCAATTGAGTATTCCTCACGGCAAACAACTCAGAACAAAGGGTCGTATATTTAACGCTATCGCTACCGCTTACATTTTGCAAGAACTTTGACCGTTTTCTCTTCACTTGCCACATTACAAACCAGTACTTTATTTACAACATTTAGTAAAACACTTTACCTTACAACTACATCATATTTTCTGCATTTTTTCCTCTTCATCCATTTTGCTCTCCTCTTTCTGCCGAAGTTTTATCTACTTCTTTGCATTCCCATATCTTCCTTTTTCTCTCCACACAGTCTGCGTTTCTTCTCTCCACTTCTACTTTCCCCTCTCGTTTCCGCATCCGAACCTCGCTGTTAGTTGAATGTTTTTCCTTCCCTCCCTTACTTTTGGGTTCATTTTAATGACCCCATCACATTAATCCTTCCTCTTCCGGGCAACCGGTCAATTATAAATTTTTTACTCAAGTGTTTGGGTGCTGAAAGCAATACATACTACGATTTGATAATCAAATTGGATTCTCGGGCAGCCCCCCCCCCTCTGGTTGCTCCATTGTCTTGAAATTGCAAGCATTTATTGAATTTTACAATGTCATTACAAAAATTTCTTTTTTTGAATTGCTTTCCAAATTCCATTTAACAGAGTTGGGCCCGTCTTTCATGTTCAGTATAGGTAACCTTCTATGTGAATAGGCAACAGAAATATGACGGTCAGGAAACAAGACGAAGGTAGCCCAAATGTATCAAACTGCTCCAACAGTTAACTCCAAACCACACATCTTCCGTAACCCAACCCTGACCCAGAGGCAGGCTCTTAGAGCTAACTCCGCTCAGGAGGGCAAATGAGTAGGCGAATAGAAAAAGAGGCACAGGTTCGATGACTCCACATCGCAACCATCCCAACCGCCGATGGCGCAATGGTAGCAATTATAGATACCAATAACTCTCTGGGTAGGTTTACGACTAACTAGGCGGACATGGTAAAAAATCACATGGCCAAGGTTCTTGACCAGCATTCTGTTCGCTCTAAAAGGCGCTGCATTAGCACCCACGTTCAGGGGTTGGGGGTACTCGGGCAAGATCCTAAGAATATCGTGCGAGATCAACCATTCCCTTGAATCGTTGAAGGAGGTGGTTGGCGACTTCTCACAATTGTGGGAGGCTGCACACCAAATGGTAGTGCAAGGCTGTCACCTGGGTCCCGGGGGAACCTGGTGGTGATCAATCGGCGCTTGCAGAACCCCTGGGGAAAGGTAGGCAGCTGGTGTCTCATCCATACAGCCGTGAAAGATCAACCTCAAGGAAGGCTGATAGTTTTCGGCAATGAGGAAAAAGGACCAAGCTAATCTAATCACCGGGGGAGATGATTCAATTATGGGGTTTCCTCTCTGCAAGAAGCTACGAAAACTACACCGCTCAGGATGCCAAGGCAACCTGTAGTCAGTGTTTACTCCAGTGTTAGGACTCACTCGGGCTGATCTCAAACTGGAACGACTCTGCAAATATTGAGGCACTACTGGGGTCTGATTCTAGCAACACCGGATAAACGATAGAGTGTTACATGACCGCATATAAAAAAATTGAGTGATAGAGGGGATCAAGGCAAGCACTTTTTCCAAATAAACCGAGGGTCCAACGCGTTTCGTTTGGGAGCCACCCCCAAAGAAGTGGTGAAATTTGGATTTCTTCTTTAATTTTTTTCTCAGCAACCATAAGAGTTACAAAGACTGAATGCCCTATCCGATTTTGAACATTTTTTTTCAAAATTCCTACCACGAAAGGGCGAAATTTGGTATCTAGGGGTTTTTAAACATGAAAATGGTGAAACTAGTATTAGTTTATGAAAATTCGAAAAAAAAGTTCTGCTGCAATTCTTGGTCGAACAAAGAAAATGGAGAGAATTCCACGAAATGTGTTGTGTACATACTTGATGAGTTAAGGAACAAAACCGTTGAACAGTTTTTTAAAATAACTTTTCAAACAAAAGTTATACTCATTTGAAAATTGGGCACTTGGGTTACAAAGTGTCCCCCGCCTACTAGTGAGTGATCTAATTTCGCATGTAGTTAATTGAAAATGTTGCAAATAAAAAAAATAACGATTTAAGTCGTTTAAGGCCTATGTATGTGCTGTAAAAACTGTGTACCTATAACATAATTTTTGGTAAATACATAAATAAAAAAGTTATTGTCTAAAAATTAAAACAAAAAGATTGCGGAGGTTTTTTTTTTATATTTGGCATAGTGGGATCGAATTGGACTTTTAGTATGTTAATTTGTTCTACCCCAAGACCCATATTACCTGTACTCTTACTATAAATAAGAGTTTTTAAGGAGGAAGATAGAAAGTTTGGAAATTAACGGTCCTCGTTTTAACGATTTTAAGAATAAAGTCATTTGAGGTTTTAAGATAATTTGAAATAAGTTTCAGAACTTGTGAAAATTTTCGAGTTGACTTTTATTGGTGGATAAAAAAGATTAATTAAAATCTCTTAAAGTTTAGGAAAATACAGGATCACTTCTTTTACGCAACCAGAAAATCCCCCTCATCAAGGTCACAACTTTTTTACGGAGAAAATTACAGGCCACACGTTTCAGTATAAAACAAGGTCATTTACGTAACTAAAAATTACCCACTTTTACCTCATTACCTGGTTACCAACATCTTGGTATTGTTTCATAGCAAGAACAGGTAACACGAGAATAAGAAATTCGTGAATTGAAAATAACAGTAAAACAAACCTGCGATTTAGGCAAGCTTTTATTATGCATTTTGTGTTGTATGCAAAAATGAACTAATAAAGTGTAACAAAAGCCTCCATTCATGGAGATGGAAGTATATTATTTCATTAAATACAGAAAGACCGACCGACATCATCGAGATTTTGTTTGATTCGGATTTCTGGTGGGAAAAAAGAAAAAAAAAGTATATTTTCCAGCGCTTTAGTTACAGAATTAAAGAGCTACGTCTCGATTAAACGCTAAACTTTTAAGAGAGCTTTGTCTTTTGCACACAAAGTAAAAATGAAAATGTTTATCCTGTGACGCATCCATATTCGTTACCTAAATACCAACTCAACCGAAACTAAATAGCTTCTTCCCTAACAAGAAACTAAATACTAACTTCATTTCACCTGCAAGTTGCAAATAGCCATTTTAATGAAGAAATTCTTGCACAGAATAGAGAGAATTCTTGACAAGCATGCCTTTGACTTTCATTACATTTCATGGGTACTAGGTTGAGAAGTTTAATAGATAGTTTAGGGTTGGTCACGCTCTTGGCTGCTACTTTGCCTCGTACACCTTTCAATTGTTCGGTTGTAACGAAATCCGAACAAAGTGGAAGTATGGATTTGATGAAAAGGACACCCGTAAAATAAAGGGAAATCGATTTTGAGAGAAAAACAGGATTCATTTTGTTTTCAGGAGCAGCTGGTCTGACATTGAACGGTTTACCCATTTCAATTACGATAGATGTAGAGGGACTTGTTTAAAACGTCGCGCTCTCATTTCTCTATTCGG